AGAGAAGGAATATTGTTACACTACCAAACCAAGAAACCAAACCCACTGCCGTCGAGTCAATTCCAACTCATAGTGACCCTATGGGACAGAGAAGAACTGCCCCATAGGGTTTCCAAGGAGCGCCTGGTGGAGTCGAACTGCCAACCACAGACATTGGCAAATTCTACAAATCAGGGCTTTTTTCTTCTTCTTGGACAGTTAGTTTACCAGCATACCACTGGGGCATTACTACTTAAAGAGGGTCATGGATTGAATTATGTCCCCTAAAAAAACGTGTGTATCAATTTGGCTGGGCCATGATTCCTGGTATTGTGTGATTTTCCTGTATATTGCAAATCCTGCCTCTATGATGTTAATGAGGGAGGATGGGTGGCAGTTGTGTTAGTAAAGCAGGACTCAATCTACAAGATTGGATTGTGTCCTGAGGCAATCTCTTGAGATATAAGGGGGAGAAGTGAGCAGAGAGACAGGGGGACCTCATACCACCAAGAAAGCAGTGCCAGGAGCAGAGCGCATCCTTTGGACCTGGGGTCCATGCGCAGAGAAGCTCCTAGTCCAGGGGAACACGGATGAGAAGAAGGCTGACAGAGACTGAAAGGCTTCCCCTGGAGCTGATGCCCTGAATTTGGACTTTTAGCCTACTTTACTGTGAGGAAATAAACTTCTCTTTGTTAAAGCCATCCATTTGTGGTATTTCTGTTATAGCAGCACTAGATGACTACAACAAAGAGGAAGAAAAAAAAATTGAGGTAAACAAGGAAGGCCCCCACAATCTGAGCCAATCTCTATTGTTTCCCTCTTCTCCCCTTCTCTCACTTTTGCTTCAACCAGAATGGAAATTTTCTCATTATCCACTTGCCACAAATGCCTGTGTAGAGAGTCATTGTTCATGCTGAGCCATACCCACAGCTTTCCCAAATCTGAATGTCCATCTCCATAAAGTTCACCTTCTTCATGAAGCCTCCTAAATTCCCCCAACTGGAATAAGCTCTGCTTCTCTAAACCTCCAAGATATACACTGTGTTTCTCTGGGACCCTTTTCATGTTCATAATTCAATATAGTTACTTAAGGTTTAAACCTTGGAGTGCTTTAATTAATTACAAACTTCATGTGGACACAGACTATGTCTACTACTTCTCTGCATCTGTCTAAGTGCTGAGCATATACAAGGTGCTCAGTTAGATACATGATAAGAGCATGATGAATGAATTTATTTTCACAAATGTGCCAAACACATCTGTCCTTCAAGGGGTAACTATAATTTGAGATCTGCTAACTCATGAGTTGCCCAATTGATCTGAACCCTGACAACTGAATCAACCGAAATAGGGTTCAAGTCAGGAAGGCTGTTAAATGCATGTTTATCTGGTGCGTGCAGATTACTTTCATTCAATTCAAATGCCTGTAAGAGGGAGAAAAAGTCAAGGATTAAACTACAGGGATTAAACTTTGATCTGGTAACAGCAGATCAAAGACTGAACTAGTTCATACTTAAATCACACCCAAACCCATTAAAACCAATCTCCCTTTAATACTTTTGGGAAGACGACGTGGAGGGTTAGGGGAGATCTAGGAACTAAAAACCAGATGAAGAAGATCAAGAAGATCACAAGTTCAGTCTCAAGTGGAGAAAATTAGTTCTTCATGCTATGGATCATTTAGCCAGTCTGAAAAGTATATAAAAACCAACAAGAAGTTAGAAGAGAAACTATCAGATTACAATTGGCATGTCAAGAAAAAAGCCATGAAGTGATGGAGTTTCTTGCACCAAAGCTTTTTAGATACAAAGCCACCTGAGAAAGTCTTCGAGGAAAATCAATGGCATGTCAACTTCAGATCTTCACATTTTTTTGGTCAATGCATGTGGACCTACTGATACTACTTAATTAATTTGGAGAAGTTTTCAAAAATTAAAAATTCTTCACAATCTAAGAATCTAAGAAGTAGTAGAAAAATATCTCCATTTTACAGATGGAAAAACTAAGCTAAAGACAGACAAGCTACTTTGTTGTATCTGTAACAGAAATTGAAATACAAACCAGGCTTCCTAATCTGGGCATAAATACTTCTCTGTTGCTTTCATTCCACCCATCATCCCCCAAAAGCTTAAATGCCCCAGAACATAAAAAACAAGTGACCTTTAAGAATTGGATAATTCCTGAAGATTAATCCAAACAGTTGGTGTTAAAAAACTAGCAAAGAATTCTCAGAATTAAGGCAGACAAAAGAACATAGTACAGTGACTGTTCCAGCAAGAAAACAAACCTTCTAATCTTCTAAAAGTATAAAACCCTGTCACTCAAGGCTGCTGATAAATGTAAGAAGATAAAGACATACATTATAGAGAAACACTTGTTTCACTTTAGATATCATTTATATTTCCTCCATCTGTCATTTCTTGATAACAGTAGCTTTAGGAAGATAGCACCACAGAGATGCTGTACTCTGCCCTAAGATGTTTTATAATTGTTAGCTAAAGCCTTTCCAAAATAGATTTTGTCTCCTGGAACCTATAAGAAATTAAACCAAAAATAAAAATGGGAGAAAAGAGCAACTCAAAGCAAAAATTCATGTGTCCATATGCTCTCCCTAACCTGCTCTGGTCTGACCCCTAAAAATTCAGTCTTTTAGGACAACAAATGAGGGACTCTTTGTTTTCCTGGTCTAAGATCTATCCTCATGTTGCTGCACTAAAGCAGAATCAAAATGCCACCTAAGGAGAAAGGTGATGGGGTTATGGCTTGCTTCACAGAGCGAGCTATTTGCTTCTGAAATAAATCGTGTTGTCAAAATCTGAACTGAGCAAACAGACTCATATCTAATTCTGGAAAGAAAATATAAAAGACAGATTCAAAATTTCCAAGGCTCTTGGCTTAGATCAGAGCTTAAACATGAAAAGAATTCTTCCACAGGCTCAATTCACCCCTAAATTTGTGAGTTTACCAGTAGACCTCCCTGAAGCTGTCAAGCAATTTGAAAACAGTCTTGACAGCAAGCCTAATACTGCCAATGATGAACTGAATACCAGCCTCTCCCAAGGAAGGAAAGGGTCTTCTAAAAAATAATTCTGGGGTATTTTACATGCAGATAGTTCTTTCATTCTGACTGAAGGAGGCGTGGGTCTTCTTTAATTAGGGCAGATAAATAGGAACACAAGGGAATCATTCAGGATTCTGTCCTCAATGGGTTTCCCTTTTCTGATTCTATGATAATCCCTGTGGTAGAGACGGAAGGGCTGGCCTAGGGCTACAGTCACAAATGTCTATGAATTCATGAGGCTGGAGAAGATGTATTTGTGGCACTGAATCCAAAGGGAAGGAATTGAGCTTTAATGAAGCCTTCCATAGTCTTTCTATGTACTTTCTATACATTCCTTATCTTACACAATCCTCATAGTCACCCTGTGAGCCTCTGGAACATAGAAGATACTAAGCGAATGTTTGTTTCCTCAGAACAGTAAGAAAAGTTAGCCACAATCACACAGCCAGTGAATGACAGCGCTGGAATTCAAACCCAAGTCCACCTGACTCAAAACATCCAGGCCAACAGATGAATGGATAAACAAACTATGATACATATACACAATGGAATAAAGAACAATGATGACTCCGCGAAACATCTCACAACATGGATGAATCTGGTGGGCATTATGCTGAGTGAAATAAGTCAATCACAAGAGGACAAATACTGTATGAGGCTACTATTACAGACACTCATGAAAAGGTTTACACACAGAAAGAAACAATCTTTGATGGTTATGAGGGAGGGGAGGGGTGGTGGGGAGAGAAAAATACTAACTAGACAACAGATAAGTGGTAACTTTGGTGAACAGTTAAGTATACAACTGGGGAAGTCAGCACACCTTGACCAAGGCAAAGTTACAGAAGCTTCGTAGACACATCCAAACTCCCTGAGGGACCAAATCACTGTGCTGAGGGCTGGGGACCATGGTCTAGAGGTACATCTCGCTCAACTGGTGCAACATAGATTATAATGTTCTACATCCTACTTTGGTGAGTAGTGTACGGGGTCTTAAAATCTTGTGAGTGGCCATTTAAGATACTCCACTGGTACCACCCCATCTGGAGCAAGGGAGAATGAAGCAAACCAAAGACACAAGGGAAAGATTAGTCCAAAGGACTAATGGGCCACAACTATCACAGCCTCCACCAGACTGAGTCCAGCACAACTAGATGATGCCTGGCTACCACCACTGACTGCTCTGACAGGGATCACAACAGCTGGTCCCGGACAGAGCTGGAGAAAAAATGTAGAATGAAATTCTAACTCACAAAAAAAGACCAGACTTACTGGTCTGACAGAGACTGGAGAAACTCCATACAGCCCCCAGACACCCTTTTAGCTCAGTAATGAAGTCACTCCTGAGTTTCATCCATCAGCCAAAGATTAGACAGGCCCATAAAACAAACAATAATACACATAGCCCAACCATGTATATGAAACTAAATGGGCACACCAACCCAGGGACAAGGACGAGAAGGCAGGAGGGGACAGGAAAGCTGGATGAATGGAAATGGGGAACCCAAGGTCGAGAAGGTGAGAGTGTTGATACTTCGTGGGGTTGGCAACCAATGTCACAAAACATTATGTGTATTAATTAATTAGAAACTAATTTTCTCTGTAAACCACATCTAATGCACTATAAAAATAAAATTAAAAGACAAAAAGAAAAAAACCCATCCAGGCTAGTTCGATTGTTATTTGTGTACATTTAATTAATTAGTTATATCCCTTAGCACCCCAGACTATTTTGAGCCAGTGAGTGAATGCTACCCGAAAAAGCACAGGACCAGAAAGCAAAAGTCCCATCACCCAGAAACCCCTGGGAGTTCAAACATTTTTCCAGAAGATTCTTATGAGACTAGGCCATTTACACAGCAACCTAAAAAACTCCTTGTTATCAGAGGTATACCAGAATCTAGCCTGGACCTTTGAGGACAGGTTCAGAGTCAACCAATATTAATTATTTAGTACTCACCACTGCTCTGCAAACAAGGGCACCTGCCAGGTAAGTGTACTGTTAGGCAGGCTACAGCCTGGCAAACTTTCAGATAATCATTGCATACTGCCCACTGTACCAGGAAGTGTGCTAATCTTATTTCTACCTTCGCAATTGCCTTACAGCCATATCTGACTTCACAGTGGCAAAGAGTAATAACAGTTCGAAGACTCAAACTTCCAAAACTTCCTCCTATCCCTACCCCAGCCATAAGAAACTACTCTCCAAAATTTCACTCTGAATTAAATGGCTTGACCACAAGGCAGTACAGTCTACAGGGGTAAAAGTAGTAACCATGGTTCTGATGTTAGCTTCTCCATGTGGCACTGAGCAAATCAACCAGCATCCCTATCTCAGTCTTCCTCACTAACTCACAACCCTGTTTATTCTTTTTTTTAAGCATCTAATATTAGCTGTGCTATGAGACTACAGAAATGTTGTTGTCGTTAGGTGCTGCTGAGCAGATTCCAACTCATAGTGACCCTATGCACAACAGAACAAAGCACCGCCTGGTCCTGCACCCTGGTCTTAGTCATCTAGTGCTGCTCTAACAGAAATACCACAAGTGAATGGCTTTTAACAAAGAGAAATTTATTCTCTCACAGTCTCGTAAGCTACAAGTCCAAATTCAAGGCATTAGCTCCAGGGGAAGGCTTTCTCTCTCTGTTGGCTCTAGAGAGAGGTCCTTGTGATGCATCAGTCTTCCCTTGCTCTGGGAGCTTCTCAGCACAGGAAACTCAGTCCAAAGGACACGCTCTGCTCCCGGCACTGCTTTCTTATTTTTTCCCATACAAAAATTCATACATACATTGTTAAGGGACTCTAATTGCTCTCCCCATACTGTCACAGCACACTCCCCTTTTCACCCGATTCCCCATGTCCATTCAACCAGCTCCTAACCCTCTCTGCCTTCCCATCTTACCTCTGGAAAGAAGCTGCCCGTTTAGTCTCTTGTATGTACTTGAGCTAAGAGGCACAGTCCTCACAAGTATCACTTTATGTCCCACAGTCCAGTCCAGTCCCTGTCTGAAGAGTTGGTCTCAGAAACTGTTTTAGTTCTGGGCTGATAGAGAATCCAGGGGCTATGCTTTCCAGGGTCCTTCCAGTCTCAGTTAGACTATTAAGTCTGGTCTTCTTATTAGAATTTGAGTTCTGCACCCCACCTTTCTCCTGCTCCATCTGGGACTCTCTGTTGTGTTCCCTGTCAGGGCAGTCACTGGTGGTAGCCAGGCACCATCTAGTTCTTCTGGTCTCAGGCTGATGAAGTCTCTGGTTTGTATGGGCCTTTCTGTCCCTTAGGCTAAT